CTGTACTACAGCTTGCAGATAAGAGAAGAAACACTTGCCCAAGTCTAGCTTTGCCCCCTGCCATGCTCTGGGGATAACACCCTCAGGAAGCTGCAGAAAGGCAAGGTGGAAGTGAAACCTGTGCTCAGGCCAGCAGGTGTGTCAGGAAACAGGACAGAAGCTTTAGAGCCCTTCTTGAGGATATTAATATGCATGGAGGGGATGCTAACAGGAAACCTTCTAGTGCCTTAGAGAGAGCTGAAGTTCATTTCAGTGAAACAGCTGAGCCCAGAAGAGTCAGTAGTGAAAAAACCCTCCCAACACCTGCAGTTTTACCAATAAATCCTGTCCAGTTAAGCCTATGAGATTTCACGTTGTTAAACACAGAAAAAAATTCATTCCAAAATTTTATAGTGTTGGAAGGCAGGAGGGGTTTCACCTGAACTTTGTGATCGGTGCCCTTGGATTTGTTAACGGGGATGTTTCAGCCGAGGAGGGATGAAGTGAGGGGAAAACGCCACGAGAGGGAGATGTTGGAAGCAGGAAAGCTGTCGGGATTCTCAGTCTCGTGAAGCGGGCTACTTACGAAAGGCACTCCACTAAAGTTTATTGAAACTTCAGGGAGCTCACAGCATCTTTAATTCCCTCCCAGAATAAATTTTATTTTAATCTGGAAAGCTAGAAATCCTTTGGGGACCCCCCCCCCCCCCCAAAAAAAAAAAAAAAAGGAAAAAAACCCACACTGAAACCAAAAACCTGTGAGAAGCCTATTTAAAAAGTGGTGTTTATTAAAAAATGATATCTTCACCAGACATCACAATGCCTGCTGTTTTAAGGTCAGATATTTGAATTTCCACTTCTTTTATAGTTACTTTAAGTGGTAAAATGCATTACATAGTATAGATATGGTGACACTGTACTGCTCAATATGAGGAGAGAAGTGTACAAGGAGAAAGACCTGCTCAGAGAGATCACTCTGCTCCAGTTACCTTGTTTGTGATATGTGTTTCTTAGTAGTGTTAAGACACCTCCCTGGAAAAACTTTGGCTATTTCCCAGAGTTCAGCAATAATTAAATGCCTATCTGAACTCCTAGAGCCAGTCTTGAAAAATGAATGTAGCAGTAAATGGCTCAAGTCATGTCAAATATATGGGGCTAAATGTGAATATTAATTATATAACCAGAGGGACTCAATTTACTTTGTAAAGCAATTAAAAGAAGACAGAAATTTACAGTCTGTTTCTGGAAAAGAGTAATGCCTGTTTAAAAATAACTTTCTGCCCAGAATAGTCTGCCTGTCTCACATAATATCAGTTATGGGGGGGGGGGGGAAGGATCCAAACTAACACAACAGACTTTGGCATTTACAACAGTACTTCTTTATGGAAATAGCAAACCAAAGTTTTAAAACAATACAAGTTGACAGGTGCCCAGGTGCACTTTTAGGCATGTAAACAAAGGCTTTGCTTTTCAAACTGCCTGAGGAGCACATCAAAACTTGGCTTCCCCTTGTTTTCATTCCCTGTGGGCACATTAAGGATATGAAGAGGCCTGTGTTCCTATGGACAGGAGGTAGAGGTTTCATGGTTTTTAATGTACAGCTTAATATTGCTATGGGTTATTCTAGTAGTCTGTCTCTCTATTTTTTTTTTTAATGTATTTCTTGCTTCAGAGTGGATAGGCAAGGATTGCTTTCCAGCTGAATCAGAACTGGAGTTTGTTCCTCTATCCATAAGCAATGTATGAAACCTCATTAGCCTAAAGCACCTGTTCCAACAGGCACGCTGATGGAAAATTAGCATGTTCTTGGATGATAACTGCACTTTAGTTCTGCTTTCAGTGGTTTTCATATTCCTCTTCTTTTTAGTTAGGCTCTGACAATACCATTGAATGATTTGGGTCTGGCTGTTGGGGAAAGAATCACAACAATTTAAGCCAATGGCCACAGCATCCATCCCTTTCTTTGCCTCAGAGCTAGAGAGAGTCAGGATCAGACATCTTCAAATCTCATCTTGAATCAGTGTAGTCAGATAGAGAGAAAAGCGTCAGCTTTGCCCACATGGCTCAATGTTCTCTTCTCCATCCCTTCAGAAATCAGCTTCTGGCAATGGGCTAAAAAAGCCCATGGTAGTTACTTTTGTCTTCAGAGTACAGCATGTTTGGTTGGGCTACTCAATACTGCACTTCATTATTCCTTTTTTCCAGGAGTGTCATGCTCCAAGTTTTCCTGTGATGTTTTCCCCTCTGCCCTGTTGTGAACATGATTTCAGTGGGATTTTCTAAAAGAGTTTAATGCGTACAGACATGACAGTGGGAAAAAGAGCTGAGGTGGTGTTGGTCTAAATTGTTTATTTCAAAACTGTAGTGAGAAAGAGCTTCAAAAAGCCCTGAAAGTGCTCTGAGAGACAGCAGTTGGAAGCCAGGGGCTATTACCTTTATATTTCAGTAGAATCTCGTTGCTTCTATGTCACTGTTTCCAAAGTAAAAATGAGTTGAAGACAGGGAGAAAGAACATCAATTCTGAGTGCCCTTCTCAGGCAAAATTCTACTGAAACTAGAAAGTTCAAAAAACAAGGACTTCTAGGTGTGACAGCAAGAAACCTTTAATTCTTGGACAGCAATTTCCAAATATTTTGGTGAGAAAGGATGGGGTTGTATGCTGAAGCAAAATGTGACAACACAAATAGCTCCATTTCCACACTCCTTAATGAGGTGGTATATGCTCCAGGTGATGTCACTGTCAAGGCTGAACAGCAGACATCATTTACATCATTTACTGTTTATACAAGCAGGGTTCTTGCTAATTTCTTGTTTGCAATGTGGCTGTGACAGTTAATAGATTTCCTTCCCTGTTAGAACTCCAAGAACACTTAGCAAAACATATATATATATGTATATATCAGCCTTTTAAGTATTATTAAAGGCCTTACTTTTATTTAAAAAATACATTTGGAAAGGGAGAATGTGTATCTGCTTTAAAATTCTGCTTCCTTGTTCATCTGCACTTATCAGCAATGAAAGACAAGTGAAATCCTGATGCGGAGAACACCAAATTATGTCTGTGCTGGGTGTTTTAGTATGCTTAAGTCTTAATCATCCTGTTTCTAGACAATGCAGCTGTTTCAGGTGCTTTTCAGGTGAGCACATGGCCCTGTAGATGACAGCTACTCTCTGTTCCAACACTTACTCCATACAAAAAAACTGTGGACTGTATTACAGGTTCCATCTATCTGAAACCCCACATTCCCAGGAATATGAACACAACTAATTGGCCTCTCTCTGGCTGTTTTGACTAATTTTTAAAGGATAAAGCAAATTTTTAAAAGGCTCTCTTCACTGCTTAAAGGCAGTGAGGGCTTCTTCATTGTGCTCAGCAAACACAGCCAGAGTTTTTCTTTGGTGAAAGTGGCTGATTCCCAGATTTACCTTCTCCAGTCTGAATCTCAGATCTGCACAGTGCTTCCCTTTTCTAGCAGTCAAAACTCTGTAGCTTTATACCAGAGTAAAGGGAAAACAAAACAAAAATCATTAATACATCCACCTTATATCCAGTTTATTTAATACCAGAGCAGTAAATACAAATATGAGTTCTGGAACCTGGCATTGCTAGAGCAAGGTAAAGCTACAACTCTGTTGGTAGTTCTGGAATCCTGTGTGGGCTAGGAATCTGAAAGGTGTACATGAGAAATCTGCACATTGAGTCTCATAGATATTGACCATACACTTAAAATACAATGCTGCTGATATGGCAGAGCAGCATCTGCAGAAAAACAAAGCAACCCTGTGCCTGTCAACTGAGAACTATTTCCAATATTTTTAGTCTTATAACAAGTGAAATAAGCAGTATCTTTTGCTTAAAAAAAGAAAGTGATCTTTGGTCAACACAATAAAATGTGCTTTAGTACTATTTTACAACCTTACTGCTAAGATTATATGTAACCTTTTTATGTTGTCTTATGGGTGAGCACTCAAAACCTTAAAGCAAAAAAAATAAAAAAACTGAAACTTTTTAGTTTCAATGCAGGTAAAATTTCAGAGCAGAGGTAGGCTTCAACTCAGCATCCTACAAAGACTGAATCTCAGCTGTCCCTGGAGTGTGTAGGAGGCAGCAATTCATCTTCAGATCACTTCCCTTTCATAATTTCTGTATGAGAACAGCACTTGCAAACACTCTGGGCTAAGCCCTTATTTAGCTGTCTAGAGTAAGAGCTCTGAATGTCAACTGACAACACTAAACCCAGCTGATGTTTAATTTCCACATCTGAAAAGTGTAGCTAGCAGTACTCAGTGCTCTCTCTGTGGTATTTCAATACCACAGCCATGAGTAGCTGCAAGGACATTGGTTATTAGGAAAAACACTCTCTGGGAGCACAGGTCTCACCAGCAGGCTGACCTTTAAATCCAGGCAGATATCCTAGAGAACTTGTGCTCTTTACCAGCCCATGTGCCTTCCAAGCTTCTGCTGCCATCTGAGATTGAGCAGTCACACCCACCTTGCAGCTAATGAAACTTTTGTTAAAGCTGACAAAAGCTGCTCTGTGGAAGGAATCAACCCAAGCCTTATCCTGGCCCTTGCTGTAAAATTATTTCACTCAACAACCACCTTGCCAAAACAGTCTAGTGCTCACTGAGTAGCATTTCACCAACATTTCAGCTCCCACACTCCTCAACCCTCTCTACTTTCTCTCATCACTCATGGAATAAAGAAAAAAGGATAGCGAAACAGGAGACAATACTGCTTTATATATTTGCTTCCCTACTTCTGGCACCTCTGCAAGGCAGCTTTGCAGGTAAATATCTTTTGTAGACTTGGTGTCTAAGCATTGAATTCATATGAATTTCAGCAAGTGTAAGGCACACAAGGACCTGAGTTTAATACAAATACATTACCACATGAAGCTGCAGTGTTTTGCTTTTCTTAGTGCAAATGTTTTTTGCACACAAAAACCAAAACTACTCAGAATTCTGAAGTAAGATTTTGGTCAGCAAGGCTGAGTTTACTGGATATTATGTGGGTGTCACTTAGGGACATGGTTTAATGATAGACTTGGTAGTGTTTAGTTGATGGCTGGATTTGATGACTTTAGGGTCTTTTCCAATAGAAGTCAATCTGTGAAATTATATATCTGTTTATACCTCAGTTGCACCTAGAAGCTCTATCTGAGACCATGCTGGTGTTGAATAAATGCAGACTAAACCTCTCCTCTGGAGCAGCTTAGAGTTTAAATGGCACTGCCCTATACAGTAAATCTGCAGCAGAGCTGAAATAGAAGGTCAGATCTTCCAGGTCTAGACCATACTGTCTCCCACCTTTGGCTCCTACTGTCTTACTCCTCCACATATTGACCTTTGGAGGAAATTCAGTGAATCCCAAGAGCTCAGCTCCATTATTTCAGCATGTTCCAACTTCAGGACTAACCATCTCTTACACAGATTTCCTCCTCTTCCCAAACACATTGTTGATCAACTTGGCCATTGACTTGGAACCGCTTGGTCTTCTCTTCTCCTTCACTTTGGAATTGGCAGTGATATTCCTCAGCACCTTGGTGAACATTGCCACAACCTCCTGATAGTGCTCTGCTGCAGACAGTTCACAGAATTGGCACTTGTTATCTGTTGCCAGCTTCTGTCCTTCATCCCAGCCAACCTCCCTCATGTGGCATAAATCCTGTTTATTGCCAACCAAAAATATTGATGACTCGACCATCCTGAAATGAAAAAGGTTCCAGTTAGAGAGAAGAGATGTATACCATGCTGTGTCATGTGCTGTCCTAAATTCAATATGTATGAAAAATATGTTTGTTGAGGATAACAGGCATTTCAAAATAACCCAAAATGAACTAACCAGCCCCCTCATCTTGCCAGGAAGAATTCTAGTTTTTCATTTGTGAAAGGATTTTCCAGACAAGCTATTCTCTACCAGTAGATTTTCATTTCGGTTTTCTCTACTCCAAGAATTAATGTATTTTTAATCTACTGCTTTTTTTGTGCTGCAGAGTATTTTGTCAGCACCTGGACTTCATGAAGAAGCAACCTGATCATTATTTCCATTTGCAGGTAACAGAACAGAGTCCAAGAGACAGATCAGTGTCAGTGGCATACTTCAGAAAGAAATAGGAAATCTAATTCCAAGCTTCTGCCAAAATTATTCCTTTCAGAAATTAACCTTAATTAAGAAAGGTCAGCAGGAAAACAGATAGAAAAATGGGGGTTTTACTTCTGATACAGGTCAAGGATTTCACTCTTTTATTTAGAAAGCACCTCAGCTGACTGATGCAGGAATACACACCCCCATCCACACTCACACCTGCAGTTCTGATGATTCTTTTTTTTTTAAGTCCTTTCTTTCTTTCCATATGGTCAACCATGTGCACAAATGATGCTGGGGTCACCACCAAAGGCAGTTTAAGGGGTATTTGTGGTATTACTTTCCTTTGTTGTGGGAAATGCTTTTCTTCAGCCCCTGCATTAGTGCGTCTCCATTGGTAATTGAGTAGGAGAGTAAAAGCACAGACTGACTACGCCAGGCTTTTTTACCTGAGCAACACAGCAGAAATTTTTATGGCAATAATTTAAATACTAGTTCTGTAAGAAATAAGAACAAAAAATCCTGATGTACTTGGGTTTGGTTACAGTAAAATTGATTGTAATTTGCCCCACGTTTTACCCTCGGGTACCTTGTTGTTGGCATTTTGTTACATCACTTTGATGCTGCTGGATTTTAATTGCTGCTAGGATAGCCTTCAAGCTCACAAAAGGCTTTTCAGCTTTTCTCTATGTTTGCTGAGGGGAAAAAAAAATAATGCCACTTACTTTTTACAAACTCCTATGTGAGACTCTCGGATCCTGTAGAGCAGTGCCTTGGCAAAGGCAAATGATGCTCTGTCACTGATGTCATAGACAATGATAAATCCATCAGCCCAGTGGAGCTCATCTGCCAGGGACAGCTTCCCCTGCTGGGGCTGAAAGAGGTGCAAAAGTACACAGAAAAATAATGTTACTCTTGCCACTCCAGAGCCTTTTCTCTGTTGCTGTGAATGCCAGAACATTGTAACTTTGATTGCAAGATATTTAATAGGTCAAGATGCTGGCATTGAATTCAGGCTAGTGCTGCTCCAAAAGCCTTATAAATAAAGCCTTTGTATTTGTATAAGTTTATTTATATAAATAAACAAACCAACATCAAAAATGGCACTTTGGATCACTGACAATTTCATTTTGAAACATTTACACTTTGTTTAAGCAGTGAAATTCCACAACCTGTACAGCCATTAATATTCTGCAGGGTTACATGAGAGTGAAACACACAGGAGCCATTAACATTTGTGTGTTTTGTGGTTGTAGCTCTGGTTTGATTGTTCCTAATGTTCTGACTACAGTAAGCTTAAGAATTTTCTTCATTTTTTTTCTTTCCTCTTTGAATTGTTTAAGTTTTAAACACTAATTGCCCATATGTTAAATTTCTGAAGAGCTAGGGGAAAAAAATCTTTCAATCTGCAGTTGAGTTTCATAAATCTAGTGACAAAAGTCACTTGAGTGATAATAGGGTTATACTAATCCTTGACCCTCTTCACACCAAGAAGCTGCCACACTTGGATTTCCAGAAAGCAACAGCTTTAAACTGTCCCATTAAGCAAAGGAGTGTCATTTCAAAACTATTTAAAATTAGCTTATCCCTGCACATGACTTGGCAGCAGCTAGCAAGACCATAGGACCTAAAATAGATGAAAAAACTGGAAGCTAATCAGAAAAAAAAATAAAAATTAATCATTTACTTTGCTAAACAGCCAAAGTTAGGCCTTGTTCCTAAGGGAAAAAAAATGAGTACGGACAGCTCAGAGTGCTAGCACAAATATGTGCAACCAAAATCTCTCCTGCTAATGGGAAAGTACTCTAATTCCAAGCCCCAGCAACTATACAATTTCAGTCTTTAAAAAAAAAAACCCAAAAGAGCAGGCACAAAATCCAACAACTAAAAGTTTGTAACCCCTTGTCTTTTACCATAGACACAGGTAATGAAGAACAGCTTTTCTTTACTCTCCTCCTGCTAAATTCTTACCTGGGAACAAGGGTCATAAATTTCCAGGTGTATCTGCCTCCCGTCCAGGCACAAGTGCTTGGTGTAGATGCATTCTAAGATAGTATCCAAAGAAAATCAGTGTTACTGACTGGGGATGACAGTGAAAAGAAAAGGCAACAGTGAAATTTGATAACACTGAGGATTACTTGAATACTGGTTATTTGGTTGATTTCCCAAGAAATTTAGAGTTTTTTTGGCTCTGATCTGGATTTTTGAGGAAGGTTGTTAGGGAAGGTTTTTTGTTTATTTTGTGGTTTTGGTTTTGTTGACTGGTTGTTTGCTTTTTTTTCTGAACCCACACTGGAAACAAACCTGAATTTTGCACCAATCAATCCCTCAGGCAGACCAGCACCATTTCTCTGTGGTGTTCCCATCAAAGTCTTGGTGAGTGAATACTTTCAGACCCTGCTTGTTCTCTTCCAAAACAGAGGTGAGGGGAATTCACAATCCTCACAATCAGCTAAATGCTGATCATCATTCAGCTTGATGCCAGGGCTCAGGATTATCAAATGTGCAGCTCTGATTGGGCACAGAAATGTTATTTAGCAATAATATTTATTTACCATGGCTTCTGGTGCTTTAAAAGTTCTCATACCAGGCAGCATTAGATCAAGAGTATTTACAGGACCATGTCCTTAGGATCTAGTCCAAAAATAGTTCTGCAGTGTCTCAGATTTAGGACTCTCCACCAGCACTGGGAACTCTACTGCAGACACACCATCACTACTATTTAAAGCAGCAGGATGTTCTGAGCAAGTGTAAGTAGTTTGTGGTTGCCAACAGGCTTTCTGCACTGTAATTTGTCATTTTCTGAACTTCAGGGACAAGAATTGGTGTTGACAGTACAGAAAACACACTTAAAACTGTGTAATGAGGGATAGCTCAGTGATCTCTGGAACTCAGCATCTTCAGCATTCCTCATGCTCATCTTAAGAATTCATCTGATGATAAACTATCAGTCCCAAGCATCTCAGGGTATAAAATCTACAGCCCCTTGCTTGTTTCCTTAATTAAACAAACTTTTAATTATTATTATTATTATTATTTTGACCCCACTAATAGTGGCATGATCTTTATTTTACCACCCCTATTACCACTTTCCTCATCTCTAGAGACAGTGCTAAACTTATCTTCCAACAAGCATTTGTTAAAAAATGAAAATGTTTTGGGGTTTTGACATGGCTTTTACATGACTTGCAGTACTGGAGGCTGAGAAAACCTGGTTTTGGTTGTAGGTGGCTTGGAACACAGAGAGAGCACAGAGAGCACATAATTTACATGTGGTAGCTTAGACCTAGAGCAGCCAGCTGGGGGACAAACTGTCTGCTCACTGTGTTTGTAAAATGACAAATAATGGTAGAGCACACATGAACAGTTGTAACTCTTCCTTCAGAATAAGATCATTTGGATATATTCAATACAATTCAGCTTAGTACTTCTTTTTTCTTTGTTATTTGCAGATCACTAGAAGCTACTCTGATTCCTGGGAGAGAGGGGTGGGGGGGAGAAGCATGGAGAGAATCCTTTACTGTGGCAGGGAGAGTGAGGTAGAGGGCAATCTCTGTTCCTTGTTAAGTTTTTCCTTCTTTTTCTCTGTTTTCCTTCTTTTTCTTTTCTCTGTTCCTCATTAAGTTTTTCCTTCTTTTTTCTTTGTTATTTACAGATCACTAGAAGTTACTCTGATTCCTGTAGGGGTGAGGGGGGGAAAGTGTGGAGAGAATCCTTTATTTTAGCAGGGAGAGTGAGGTAGAGGAAGGCAATCTCTGTGCCTTGCTAAGTTTTGGGATCTCTGCCACATCAGCCGGGGTGGCAGCACACTTCCAGAGTTATTTGTGCATCAGCTGAACGGTATTTCCACCCGGGATGTAAAAGTTCAAGTCCTGCTTTGCCACCTTCTGAGACTTACCAGTGCCTTAACGAAAGTGACACGAATGGCACCAAAGGGACATTTAATCCTGTGACCAGCCAGGTTTTCCTCAAAGCCACCAAAGCAGCTCCTTCCTGCCCCACTGGGGGATCGCCTTAATGCTTTGATTAACCACCCGTGCTGATAAACAATCTGAATACCCCCTGGAGCCGAGGAGGGGATATTCAGTAGAATACTGAATACTTGTTACGGGGTTTTTTAGTCCATTCCTTCGCTCTCTCTGACCGAGCTGACCATACCCCACTCTCAGCCCGGTTCTCTTGCCCTCCCCAGCCGCTCCACAGGAGCTTTGAGAGCAGCGATCTCTCGATCCCCGGCTCGCCCTTTTCCCTTTCCCCAGGGTTCACACCCCAGCAGGAACCCCCACCCATAACCAAGAGGGAACTCCCATCTCCCTGCAAAGTTCTACCAAGCCCAAATTCTCCATCAAATCAGCGCCTGGGGAGCCGCAAGGGAAAAAAGCACTTACAACGCCTTGTCAGAAAATAAAACTTGGCAGCTCACAATGGAAGTAATGGGGATATTGTTGAGACCAGCTGTAAGCAGGAAATGCTACTCCACTTTCTACCATTTGTTAAGAACTTATATCTGCTTTTTTGGAAGCAGTGCTTCAGAAATGTGCTTTGTGCTTTGCTATTTAAACCTTTACTTTTAGGATGGGCAAAGCAAACTATAGATTTGTGAGAGCGTGAGTTTTACAGGTTTCAACAAGACAGAGCTTGCCAGATAAAAAAGACGTGATACATTGTTTTGGTTTGAAAAATAAGTGAGTTTTATGAGAGTTTGGTGGTCAAACTAATTAATTACGATACTTGAATATTAGCCCTACTCCCCTCGTCATTTCTGTTCAGGCACTTTTTCACATAACAACACTGCACTGTCTTTGTCTTAGCGCTAAGGCACTGCCTCCCCCTGACTGCAGTTTCTGTGTCACATACATATATCAACACACATTTAGCACTAGCTCTCCCCAGGGGAAAAAGCATCCATCCCTCTATCCATCCACCCCTCCCTGCCTCCATCTGTCCCTCCATCCCTGCCTCCATCCCTGCCTCCGTGCCCGCGGGGCGCTCACCGGCTCCGGACGCGTATTCTCCGATGAAGCGCCGGGTCAGGAACCGCACCGCCAGCGCTGCGGGAGGGAAGCAGAGCCGGGATCAGGATTAGCAGAGCCGGGATCAGGATTAGCAGAGCCGGGACTACCGGAGCCAGGATTAGCGGGGCCTCTCCTCCCCCTCCACCAAACCCGATGCATTCCCTGCTTTTCCCCTCACCCTTACCCGACTTGCCGGCCCCGCTGCCGCCCAGCACGGCCACCTTCACCTCGCTCATGGCTCCGCCGCCCCCGCTGCCTGCGAGCCTTTAAAGCGCCTCGGGCGACGCCGCCCCGCATCCTGCATCCCGCATCCCGCATCCCTCAGCCTCTGCCCGCCTCCTCCCACCGGGGAGGTGCAGCTCCCCGCGGCCTCTGCGCCTTCTGAGAGGCGCCTTCCTCCTCCTCCTCCTCCCCTCCGGGGCCCCCCGGCCGCGCCCCCGCCGCGCCAACTTTGTGCGGGGCGCCTTCCTCTCGCCTCCTCCTCCTCCCCTCTACCATTTGTTAAGAACTTATATCTGCTTTTTTGGAAGCAGTGCTTCAGAAATGTGCTTTGTGCTTTGCTATTTAAACCTTTACTTTTAGGATGGGCAAAGCAAACTATAGATTTGTGAGAGCGTGAGTTTTACAGGTTTCAACAAGACGCTCGGGGGATGGGGGGAAAGGAAAACGAGAAAAAACACTAAAGAAAAAGAGGAAAAAAAAAAAACCAAACAAAAAAACCCCAAACAACTCCCCACAACCAAAAATAGAAAAATCGAACGAAAAAACCCTAAATTAAAAAAAACACCCAAAAAAACAAATAAAAACCAACCAAAAAAAACCCACCCCAAAAACCCCAAGCAAACAAAATAACACCCAAAACCCAAACAAATAAAAAACAACGACCAAAGTAAACCCAACAAAAAAACCATCAAAAAAGCCAACAAAAACCCCCAAAACAAATTTAAAACCCCCAAAAAACAACAAAAAACCCAAAGAAAAAAAAACCACCAAAACCCCCCCAAAAACAACAAAAATGCCCCATAAAAAACCCAAAAAACCCCCCAAACCAGTAAAAACAAAAAAAAGCCACAACCCCCCCCAAAAAAACCCAGAAATAAACAAGTAAAAACAACAACAAAAAAGCCCAACCAAAAAATCCAAACAAACAAACAAAACCCAAAAAACCCAACAAAAAATCCAAAACCCAATCTCTGTGTGTGTGTGTGTTTGGTTTTGCTCCAAGTTTGTTTTGCAGGCTTGTCATCATTTTCTACCAGGAATATGAAAATGAAGAAACTAAGGTGATTTTGGGTTGTTTTCTGTTTGGTTGGTTGGGTTTTTTTTTTTAAAGTGATTCTGGGGGTAACTTTTTATAAAAAATTATTTAAAAAGTTGTTTGCACTTGTCTGTTCTATGCCCCAAGTTTCAAAACTCTCATCTAACTCTCACTAAACTCTTATCTTGTAAAAATCTTCTGTGGGTTTGCCTTTTTGTGCCTGAGAATGTTTTTATTGAATTTAAATTTGGGATTATGCGGTGCACAGTGCTCAGCTAAGACTTGCAGTACACCTGTGAAAAGGGAAAATGTGAAATAGCATAATAATACAGATGTGGAGTTTGAGGTAGAAAGGGCTTATCCCCCTGAAAAGACATTTTGTGTCTGTTGTGCCTCTTTTTTTTGAGGTTCCTCAAGTGCTCTCTAATGTCTGTTGGTTCTAAGCATACACAAAATACATGTGTAAAAAGGTTTACTTAACTCACTGAAATAAGAGATTTACCATCCAGGTTGCTTGTGCTTTTATACTTGTTCTGTTCATGTTTATTTTATTTGGTTTATATAAGTTTAGTGTGTTTATTCTGATATTTTTACTCTCTCCTGATGAAGCTGTTGTGAGATTATATAAATCATTCAATGAAGCACTGCTGTAGTGTGCTTGCCAGGGGGTGTTCCAGGTACAAGAGATTTCCATGAGCTCAGGAAAACAAGCAGGGGAGGTGTTTGAATGTGTCTTTTGTTATAGTTGATGGAAATGCTTACTGTGGGAAAAGATATTTAAAAATTAACAGGTGGATTCAACTTGGATCTAAATTCCCTGCTTAAAAGTTGCTCAGGGCTGGAGGTGTGGTCAGAGGATATCAGATATGTTATCTGGTTTGCTTTGTGGAGGTTTATTCACAGAATCACAGATTGGTCTGGGTTGGAAGGGACATTAAAGATCATCCATTTCCCACCCCCCTGCCTTGGGGGTTGGAGATCTTCCACTTCCACTGTCCCAGGTTGCTCAGAGCCCCTTCCAGCCTGGCCTTGGACATTTCCAGGGGTGGGACATCCATAACTTCTCTGGCAACCTGTGGTAACCACCCTCACCATCCTCAGGGTAAAGAATTTTTTCCTGATATCTTATATAGCCCTACTATCTTTCAGTTTGAACCATTCCCCCTTGTGCTGTTCTGCTATTGCTTGTTCACAAGACAAAAGTTACTAAAATGTCTCAAAGAACTTTAGTCTGACTTTTCTTTTGGCTGTTTCAAAATTTGCTTTTGAAATATCAGGATGCTGAGATCACTAGGCTTGAGCCAATATTGGTGCAAAAGGCACAACTTGGTATTTTGCTATTTCATATACATTGAAACCACTGCAACAGGACAGAGAAACTTTACAGGAAGCTTAGAATAAATATTGAGGATATGGCAGCTTGTTAAAAATCAAATGCTATGGTACTAAATGTTGTACTTGAGATATGAATTGTACAAATTCTTATTTCATACCCTCAGCAAAGGGAAGAACAGAATCCAGATCTCTGCTCTCATTATTTGAACTTAACTACATAAACACATCCCTTGCCTAAACAGCAGATATGATGACCAAATTAGGGTGTTGCACATGTTAAAGAATGTACTGCCTGGGACTTTTATTTCTTTTAGTAAAACAAAAAAAGTTAAGAAGACCAAGATAATTTGTTGTGTGTATTTAGTAAACATATAACTTAAAGCATTAGAGAAATGAAGTTTAATTGAAGATTAAACAATGTGAACGTTTCTTGTCTGAAAGACTGTTTTTCTCCAGCCCTTCCTAGAACTAAGTGGAACTGAGAAAATTTATAACGGGAGGAACTCCTGAATATCCACTTTTCTGTCAATATTCTATTATTACTGCTGCATTTTCATTTTACAATGAAAATTAATTAATTTTTTTGTAATTTACAGTAAAAATTAAATACTGTATAGAGGAAGTTATTGATAATATCAGTAGAAATTTAAAAAAAATAAAAGAAATCTGTTTCTGTATTTGAATTTGCCAGAAAGGAATATTGCTTATTGATATAATTCTAAGTGTTTGACATTTTTATGCCTCTTTTAGCATTGGAAAAAAAAAAAGTTACCTTCCAGATATGTTTAGCAAAGGATAAGACAGGGAACATTATCCTAAAATAATTAAACAGTCTTGTGATAGAGAAATATTTATTTAAGATTTAAAAAACCCAGGCTCAAGTACCTGACTTGAGTCAAATAACAGTTTAAAATTCCAAATTCTGTTTCTTACATCCCAGGTGATTGCAAAACTCTTCAGGGATGAAACCAGTCTTTATTCTCTGTCACAGATGTTATTTATACAAGAAATTACAAACAAATAAACACCCCCCTCCCGCCCCCCCGAAAAAAATCTCACAAACCAAGAACAGCTGTGGTAAAAAGTGCTGCAAGAAACCATGATATTTGAGGGAAGATTAACCTTTGCCACCAAGTCATTTGGTACCATGGTTTTTGGGTTTTTTTTTTTCTCTTTTCCTTACCTAAATTTCCATCTCTGATTTGATAAAAATTATGACCAAGGACAATTTCTGGTGGTTTGCTCATTTGGATGCTCAGATGTGAAAAAGAAAAGAATAGAAGGCTAAAACTACTGAGCTGTCAGAAAAATGACACTCACAAAAATACATAGTGAAAAAATGTATATAATTTCCATCAGTTGGAAAAAAAACCTGTGAACTTGCATTCTACAAGCAATTAAGACTTGGCTTATTTTAGAAAAGAACAAAAAGTACTTCATTTAATTAATGTCTTTTTTAATTTTTTTAATCAGTTAGGAAAAATATATGGGGGCTTGTGATATGAAGATGATTTCATATATTAGAAAATTAGTACAAACTGTATTTATATTTTTTTTTCATACGGTCTAGAAACAAGTGTCCCATACACAAAAATTGTGGGAACTACAACTGAAGGTTTTCCCCTAAAATACATGGAAGAAATAGGGGCCTGGAAACAAATGATAAAAGCAAATATTGGATTAGAAGTTTCCCTGCCCGTAAAGTAGGAAAAAGAGACCACAGTGAACTTTGAAATGGATTGAAGAGCCATTAAAATAATTAATTAATTAAAGGCTTTCCAGTGATCAGTGGCATTTGGTGAGTCTGCATGGTGATGAAAGTCCTGCTGAAAGTTCCTAAATGAGTCACAGGGAGATAAACCAGTGTTTGAATTTGCAGCATTTTAACCATTCTACAGTAAAATGCTGGCACAAATGTCCTTATCTCAGGTGAACACGTGAGATAAGCTGATCTGCAAGGGAAGCCAGGTCTTTCTGCACAGGGAATGTTGAGCTATAAAGTCTTGGCCTCTGCTTGGGGCCCTTCAGGTTTAATGTCAGCTCTTTCAACACTTAAAAAAGGCTCAGGTTGCCTCCATGGGCTCAGAGATGAAGGGAGGCTCCAGCTGAGCATCTTCCCTGTCATTGTCAATTCTCCCCACTCTCCAAATCAGATCTTGTGCATTTTTTGATTGTAGATATAGTCTGAAAAATCTTTGAATAGTATATATAAAGCAGAGGATATCTTTTTTCCTTGCTATAAATCCATTACTTGAATCATTATGGGGTGTGAGAAGGAGGGACACAGATTCTTTTTGAAGACTTCATGTTTTCTTACTTTATATTTAATGTATTTTTTGGTGTTTGCCTGTGTTATGTGTTAAAATATTTATCTGTGAGTTACATGGCATCAACTCCAGTGACTCTGAGTAGAACTGCCCTTGGAAAACTGGCACTTACATGCCTGAGGTTTTTAATAAGCCCTTTTCTGATATTAAAGCTTTGATTTGGCTTAAAATTTTATGGCCAGTTTTTCTAATTAAATGCATCCATTTAATGCTATTTAATATCTTACTAAGTGCAGTTTCATCAGAATAAGGTGCTTATAGTCTAAGTGTTCAGGCATAGAGTTCTGCTGCCGATAAAAATGATAACAAGTAGATATTTTGGTTATTTTTT